CCATTTTAAAAAGGGAGATAATTCTGACTGGTATTTCCCTCCTCTCCATGGCTGGGAAGATCCTTGCTCGAATTCTGTTGAACCAACTGCTCCTTTTTGCCAAGGAGGAAATCCTTCCTGAGTCTCCATGCAGATTCAGACCATGGAGAGGCACAATGGAGGTGATTTTTGCAGCCCAGCAGATCCAGGAAAAATGCCAAGGACAACACCAGAAATTGTACATGGCTTTTATTGATTTGACCAAAGCTTTCAGCTCTGTTAACCATGAGGCTCTATGGAAGATCTTATCAAAGTTTGGCTGCCCAAGGAAATTTATCACCATCCTAAGACTCCCTCATGACCAGATGCCTGCCTCCATCCTATGCAGTGGCTCCACTACAAAGCCCTTTGCCGTTTGAACTGGCATCAAGCAGAGCTGTGTGATTACACCAGTTTTGTTTTCCATCTTTCTTGCAGTCATCAAGATGCTCATTCATGACCATCTGCCACATGGCATCAGCATTGAGTACAGAATGGACAGGAACCTTTTCAGTCTCTCCCACCTTCATGCCAAAACCAAAGTTATTTTGGCCTCGATTGCAGAACTTCAGTATACTGATGACTGAGCCGTCATTGCACATATGGAGGAGAACCTACAAATGGCCCTTAACTGCTTCTCTCAAGCATACCAGTGCCTGGGACTGACCCTTCACATCAGAAAAACAAAAGTGCTTCACCAGCCTGCTCAGGGTTAGTCAACTCCTCTGGCAAAGATCTCATAGATGGACAAAAGCTGGAGAATGTTGAACACTTCACATACCTTGGGCAGCTCTCTCTCAAAGAAGGCCAACATGGATGAGGAGATTCCATATAGGAGCTGATGTGCCAGTTCTGCCTTCAGAAGTCTGAATCATCATGTGTTCAACAATCACAACATCAGGACTCAAACAAAGCTCCTACTATATAAGGCTGTGGTAATCCCAAATCTTCTGTACATCTGTGAAGCCTGGGTGACCTATATGAACCACCTGAAAAGGCTGGAATGCCATCACCAGCACTACCTTTGGAAGATCCTTGGTATAAAGTGGAGGATCATCACACAAATGCCAGTGTCCTCACCAACGCTAATACCACCAGTATGGAAGTGCTGATTATTAATATCAGCTGCAGTGGACAGGGTACTGTGTGTGCATGCCTGATGTATGGCTACCAAAAGAACTGCTGTACTCCCAACTCAGCCAAGGACAAAGGACATGCAGGGAGAGCAAGTGCTTCACAGACACCCTCAAGGCAAACATTAAGAAGTGTGGCACTGACACCACAAATTGGGAAAAACTACCCCAGGACAGGGCTACATGGTAAGAAAAGGTACATCTTACTTGGAGGAAAACCATCTCGCCCTGGAGGCAGAAAAACAACAAACAGAAGGAAGAGAAACAAGACAGAAAAAATCCATGGTCTGACCCTCCCTTTAACCACCACCTGTGGCGTTTGACCTAGAATCTGTGGCTCTAGAATAGGCCTTCTTAGCCATCTACAGACTCATTTAGAACCCTTTACTTGACCCATGGGAATGATCATCCTCGACCATGAGGTCAACAACAACGTTGACTCCCACTTTTAATTAACATTATTGGGTTAAATGAAAGCGCATCCTAAGCTAAATACTAAGTGGAGCAAGTATCTGACTTTCCTAGACCCCAAGGAAGGGCATCCTGTAACCAAAAGTTTGTTTCACCTCTCCCCTGACTGTAAAGCTGGCATAAAACGATCTTGCTTCTTGCACATTCTCTGGACCATCACAGCTACAGCAGTACAACAGCACTTCAGACTGCAGAGAACCAGGGAACAAATGGGCTGCAGAGGCTGGACTCCTCTCTCTTCACTGGGGAGCTGAGATCTGGCCTTGCCCAGGGTGGGTTCACTCTGTCTCTCCTGATGCTAGCTCTCACCTTAACCCTGGAAACTCTAGATCAGGTGGGCAATTATTTGGGCCCAAGGGCCACAGAGGGAGTTTTGATGAGCTGTGGTGGGCTGGGTCAGCACCCTTCCCTCCAAACAACTCACTGAAACTCCCTATGGGGCTTTGGGTGGTGGGGATGATGCATTCCCTGCCCTATGGGGGGTGTGTGGAGGGAGTGAATGCACATGGGGGGCTGCCTGCGAGCCAGCCAGGGGGGCGCGTGCAGCAGAGCTCGC